TTTGATGCTGTAAGCTATTAAAAGCTTGCTATTAATCTTTAAAAACCCTGAGGGATATATGGACTACACTCACGAAAATTACAATCCAAATTTCACGTTAACGAAAAACAATGTTGCTCTTAATCACGTCTATTACACATTATACGCTCAAAGTTCACATAAAGACAAAAATAGAATTGGAATTAATTAAATTTCTTGGCTTTCACACGACTTAACAATTAATTAAATTCACTAATTTCGTGGTCCGCTTGACCAATTAATATATTACAATTAATTAAGGTTTTTAGTTGAGATAAAAAAGTCATTGGCACGAGCGGGATTCGAACACACGATCTTCGGCTAGACAAGCCGCTACTCTACCACTTGAGCTATCGTGACCTCGATCCACTCGGACACTAATTCCCATCTCAACCCCACCTTTTGAATTTTCCCTCCTTTTTGCCATTTTTCAAATGTGTAATCGGATTGGATTCTCGACGACAAATAAAATGGCCACGGAGACTTTAGTGAAGTATACTTCATTTTAAATCATTAAATTCACTAATTTCGTGGTCCGCTTGACCAATTAATATATTACAATTAATTAAGGTTTAAGATCGTGGGTTCGAATCCCCTTCGTGCCATTGACTTTTTTGTCTCAACTAAAAACCTTAATTAATTGTTAACAATTAATCCTTACGTACAATATACATTTCGTACAGTTTTCAAAACAATTAGGACGAATTTAAATCTTTCGGCATATACAGTGTGTGTAATCAAAATTTGAAGAAAAACATAAGACAGGTTTGCTATGATTTTTCATTTTACTAATGGAACGTTTTGGTGGGTTCGGGTCATCCTGGTTCGCTTTTTCGCGTTGTTTTAATCCGTGATACAAATTTCGCATTGCAAGAGTATACATTTTGATCCTCAGGGTATAGATTGATAAAAAGGATGGATGATAAAAAATATTTATAGTATATCGATGGATCGCCTGCCGAAAAACAATTAGAAAATAATGTTTTTGTAATTTAGTCGTTGCCGATCATTTTGCTCTTCTTCCGCATGGGTTTAGATGTGCAGCAGGAAAAAGTACGTCATACAAAATAATTATCGTTATTCTGTAGATCAGAACTTTTAAATATGATCCTTTTGTATAAAATCTAATTTAGGCCAACAATTTAGTTTAATAAAATTTAAATATGGCCTTGATTAAAGGTCAACAATCAAACCCTCATTAACCATTTGTGCTTAATTATACTCGCATATGCTTGTAATATTAAAGTTAATAATGAAATTAGATGTATTAGTTTTACCGTTTAAGTAGGGCAATCAGTGGGGTATTTGAGGGTAATTAGTTGGACACCATAGTAGGATTTCTAACTAATTGAATAGGGAAACTTAATTACTCAATAAATACTATCTTTTCTGTTGGATAACGGTAAAATCTTTTTTATTTTTAATTAAATTGGGTTTTCATTAGTGACGGACTGTGTGAATTCATTTCGGTTACTAAGATTTCTCGAAAGTAATTTATGAAATTAATTGGGAAAATGGTTTTCTGGATATCACTGAAAACATTTTTTTGTGTAAGTACAACTGCTATAAAATAAATTTTATTTTTATTTTAGTGTCATAGTATTTAATTTTTCTAGTCAATTAACGAGGGTTAAACCTGTGTTAGTTGCCCATTTTCTCCAATGACTGGTACCGTTGGTTTTACTGCATTTCAATTAACAAAACGGTTTCCTACGAATTTTCCTTTTTCAAACGATAGGCACTTTGCTAGCTAAGGTGGAACAATCGTCGGGACGACTCCGCAGTGCGGAACTGAAACACTCTGGCCCAAGTCAGATAAATAATTACAGTTTGTGTGTTGAGCCGAACAGTTAAGGGATGTAATTAGGAAAGCGTCAGTGGTCGCACCCTCCCCCCACCAGAATCAAAAAGTCGAAGCTTTCAACGACACATTTGACCACTAAAAACATTTTCCTTCCGATCGCCTTCCAAAGACTAAATTCAACAAAGCCTCCTATTTATATTTTGAGAAATGAAATTACGCTGGGTGACCTGAGGGTCGCACGGTTTCTTTCTGCTCGTCTCCTTGAAGGTAAAAATTAAAGTCAGGCATATTTTTTAAAGTACTACTACTAACAAAAAAAGGAAATTAATATAAAAGCATTAAATTTCTATGTAGAGTGTAATTTCAATTTGCTAAAAATAATAAATAATATATAAAAAATAGATTTTTGAAAAATAAATAAAAGTAACTTTTATATAATAATTATATATAAAGGTTTAAAAAGGAAATATTATCTCTTGAGTATAGTTGAGGGGGTGGTAATTTTTAAGTAATATTTTAGTCTGAAAGTTTTTAAACGTTAATATTTTTTTTAAACTTACCTTGGATATAACTTTTTAGGTAAAAGTTACTTCAACATTTGTCAATGTTGCCTCGAATTTTTGTTCGAACTTTGTCCAGCATTGTTTTTTTTTGCAATTTTTTGTTAAATTTTCTTTCAGCATAATGGTTAGACGTCTTTAACAGTAATGTTTCCATTAAGTCTATTACTTTTACATCGATACTTTTCCGATCTTTCTCTAAGAAAAATAAGGTTGGTAAAAATTAATTATACTTTTTATCTGAGCTCTTGGTTGAGATGAAAAGTATAATTAATAAGGTCATTAATGACCACTAGGCGTGTGGGCATGCCTACAGATTTAATAGTTTCTCGAACTCAGCTGTCAGTCCCTTGTTCCGTTTTTTAGTTGAAATGGTGGTATTTTACTGTACACGTTGATTTTCTAGGTTTTTTATTTTTTATCATGTGTGTTTTGTTTGAAGGCATGTATTTATTAGTGTGAGTGGTGAGGGGTGATGGTGAAATATAGCGTCACCATCGCCCCTCAGGCAGGGTGTGTGCCGTGTGTCGATGGCGGAATACTTGTAAAAGTTCCTCATCGACCATCATTTATTTTAGGCTAGCTTTAAAACCCAGCGTTGCCCAGGGGGATTAATAATAAGTGTTATTTAACACCTATTTTGAGTATACATATTGTTATTACTATATAGGAGCATGTATTAAATAAACACTATTGAATGTTTGAAGTCAATGATTGTATTTAGTCATCATATTAGATATTTACATATGCAATATTATTTTTGTTTTGGATAACATTGTACTAAATTGTAATTACTGTTGTATTAAGGGTTAAATTCATTGCAATGCTCTTGGATATTCAACCTTTTTGATGATTCCATATGGCATAGACAAACAATAATTCCCCCATCCTGGAGCATGCAACGTACAACTGTCCATGAAAAAACCATGATCGACATTGCGATTTGTTCATCATTATTGCAAAAGCCTGTTTAATTGAAAATTGCTATCATTTGAATTAGAACGGCACTTCCATTAGTATCATTGGTATGTGTTGCATTTCTCTCTCCTTTGAATTTTAGTAAGAATTTGTTGAGATCGTGAGGAGCGGTCAATGAGGTAGTTTAGAAAACACCTTTTTTTATTTTTTTGCCGACGTTTCGACCTTTATTCGTGTCATCTTCAGGGCGCAAAGTGTGGTGCTATTCTTTCACAATACTTTCACACAAAACCAATATGTCACCACAAGAAAAGCAGCGCACTTTATGTCCTGAAGATGACACGAAGACCAGTCACTAAGAAACACACTTTAGTAAGAATTTATTATTTTTATATATTTTATATATTTTATCTCAACTAAAAACCTTAATTAATTGTAATATATTAATTGGTCACGCGGACCACGAAATTAGTGAATTTAGTAAGAATATTAATATTATTCTACGAACACTATTTGTCGTTTTGGTAAGATTTTAAACAACAGCAAAATGAAATGCTATACGAGAGAGCCAAAAAGAATGTAAGATTAAATATACTTCTTCCGCTTGTTTATAACAGTATCTGATTGTTGATTTATATAAGTTCAAATCCGCAGATGTTTGTCCATAAACAAATTCACGTGCAAAATTGAGCCTAACACGTCTCGCAGTCCACCAGCAATCTGACGTTTTGGCTTAGTGGAACGGTCGTCGGTCATGCCTTATGCCGGTAGTTCGTTGTCCTACCTACACCACTGCTGCCTATAGTAAGATACAAAGGCGACGTTTGTATCTTCCTATCTTTACATCAGCGAAACCAATTCGGTTATTTTTGAGATTATATTGTATCAGCAGTTTTGCAATTAATACCGGTTCAGTAATTTTTGCGACTATAAAGTGTTAACGTAGTTTTCGCGTCTATTGACTGTTAGCGCCCCAAATCGGAACCTGAAAGTCGGGCGGGAAACCTGAAGGCTGAAGGCCCCACTGGACAGCTGTGAAAATGGACGCCACAAATTCCTCAAATCTTACTTTTTTGAAAAGCCTGATGCCCATTATTTGTATGCCGATTTTATATTCTCTAAACCGCCCGGCGCTAATAAAAACAAAGTGTGAAAGTGTCATCGAAATCAGTTAAGAAGTTTTCGTTTTTATCATTAACACACACATACGAACATTCACTTACATATATATACTTAATTCTGAGTATAGGTCGTTGGAGGAATATCCAGTACTCCAACTGATTGATTGATTTATCTAATTTAAGTATTATTAAGCAATATTATGGTTGGTATGCGTTTGGGGTTGAAATGACCTAGTGGACGATCTCCTGGGCATTAGACTTAAGTAGCGACTCAGCCATGAGGTGGATGAACACCTAAGGCCAGCAAATCGGAGAGTGACAACCCTTCGAGGTGAAAGCCTGACTTTTAATATTTTTTTCAAGAGATTTTTTCAAATAACACATTTAACTAAGATTAAAATTATACTAATTATTTAAACATGTATAAACATTAATGATATTCAGAAGTCTGTTGAGTGGAAATATATGCAAATTTATGGCACATATAAAGTTCATGTTTCATTGGCGTATTGTTTTCTAAAATATACATTTGTATTGTTTCTGAGAGAGATGAACACAAAAGCAAATTGTTTGTTACAGGACAACTCTTTGCCATCAGGCGAAAAGGCTTTGGAAGGGTTTTCGATCACATTGGAAAAAGTGGATAGGCACCAGGCTGGCGTATATCAGTGCACGGCAAACAACGGCGTTGGAGATCCTGTCACAGTTGACATGCAGCTAGACGTCTTATGTAAGATACATTATAACAATTTGTAGCAACTATTAACAATTTTATATTTTTGAAGCGGTAACTAGTGTTTATAGTTTTCCAATCTTGTGGGGCAATTAGACCATTTTCTTCCCAGTTGTCTGAGTCATTGGTTTTTCCCCACCGGGCGAAGGGAATTTGTGTGCGTTCGGTCGGAAAGTGAAACGTATTAGAGCACTTTGTGCCGACCTCCGCCCCTTCTTTCATCGCCCTACACAATCAAAGGGAACGGATGAAAAAAAGAGGCCTTGACGGATTTGGCCGTTTCGGTGGAAACACCGAGATCATGCCAAGCCGTTTGTAATCTAACTTAACGCAACATCGGGTCGACACTGGTATAATTCGAGTGGCTAACCAAATTAGAGGCCTCCTTGTGTGAACAAAGGGATTCGGACTTTTGCAAATTGTACGATCTTTATGACCTTTTCGCTTCTCCCCTTGCATCCATTCCACATACGCGGTGTTATATTACGATTTATTCGACCGTTTATCTTGAGTGGAACTGTCTTTTAAGATCAAAAAAAGTACGAGTGTCAATACAAATATGACTCATGACCATCGAATAACGACGCCAATTAACGAATACTTGAACTTCTCGTTATAAAAAAAGGAACCGTAAACAAAAATTTTTCTTTGAACCAAAAACCTTAATGGTTTTCTCACTCATTAAGTTCCTTTCAAACTTCTTAATGTTCTGTTTTTTGTACCTTCAAGACTTGAACCCTTCAAGGCTACCCAGAGAATAAATGCAGAAAAATTTGAACATCCCGCTTTAAGGAGTTCGGCAGATAACTTTACATCACGCTTACGTTGTTAAACATTAACTAGATCCATGTTCTCAAAGTTGTCGGGATTGTACAATAAATGCTTTAAATTCTATAGTTAAAATCGTTTTTAGCGAAGAAAAACGGTGTTGAAAGGTTGGCAAAATGTTTATTGCCGTCCAATGCTTTGTTCCTACTAACTTTTGTCTAGATCAATAAGTTTCAAGCACGTCAAGACTAAATTTACTGAATTAGAGATTAAAGCAGTGATTAAAATTTCCAAAATAATATCAATAGACTGGCATATTATTTTTATTTATTTATTTTATTTATTTTTTAATTTGGATACCAGGGACTCGAAGAGTTCCCTCCTGAGCACTGCAGCTGAGCTATACAGCTTATTGTACTTTATCCCTGGCTCCATATTTAGGGGGAGGGCTTGCAACACAAATGTGAACTTGAGCCCCCGTTGTACCGGTGTTCTTCCATCGAAGAAACTCATTTTTGAAGGGGGTTGGGACCAAATTCAGGTCACTGAGATCCGATCCCGCCCCTTCCATTGATGAGTGCCGTGTCAAGTTCTTTCAATTGCGGCCACCGGTCTCCTTAGGCGTCAGAAAAAGTCTAGAGGCGACGGTGGGGATCGAACCCACGACCGCGGGATCTACTAGCCGAGAGTCTGACGCCTTAACCCCTCGGCTACCGCGGCCCCCCGGCATATTATTACTTTCACATCAAGACGCACAGTCACAAAAAATTCACTTTTCATATCATCATTTAACTTTTATTTGTGTAATGGTACAAAATGTACATTGGTACATATAATGTTATATGATAAATATAATTAGAATAAAACCAATAAACAGTACATACCAAAAAAACGTATGGGACACCACAGAGGGCGGGTATACTTTTTATTTCAGATTTTATAAGAGCGTTTTCTTATATAAAGACAGCTTATAAACATTTCTTTTTACGTTCTAAAAATCAAACGTTATGGTAATTCAGAAAATATCTTGGACCTTATATCTTGGATCTTAATGTATCTACAATTCAAGGGATAATTCAATGAAAGTCTACTTGAATCTACTATTAAATTGCCTTCTACATAAATTAATCTAACTGGAATCCTTCCTAGTATAGACACACAAAAACCCTGGTTATCCGTTGTTCCATCGAAGCCACTACTGACGTTGGAAAGATTAAAAATTTATTTATTTATTTCATATAGATTAGAAGGCAATAAAATAAACAGTGCATTAACCAAACGTAATAAGGATTAAGTTGTACTTTGGTTCTTCGTACTTTTGCGAATTTCTCCGTGGCTGTTTTTGATTAGTTTTGATTATGGTTAACTTAAAATTGGTTTACTTTTGATCACTTCAATGAATTCAATGTATTCGTCTTTATCCGGATTTATATTTTTCATTTATTTTGTTTGTCTTGCAAATAGATTTTATTACCAACCTTTTAACTATTCTGCAATACGAAAAAATATCATTCGTTAATAATTATGATAAATTCGATCCTATTAATAAAATAATTAATAATGTAGTTTATTTTTGAAAATTGGGAGAAAATATTTTAATCTGTAACAATAATGGAATTGGTCAAATAGGCTAAACCCGCATGACAGATGAGTTTTGCGCCAGTGTTGTCCTGTTACGCCGTTGGTCAGACTCACAGTACTTTCAAATGGACTTATGGGCCATCACTACCGTAACCCGGAAACATAAAAAATATTTACATAAATTTTTTTTAAATAATAATAATATGACAAATAATTATAATTAACTATTAGTGCGAAGCTCATTTCATCCTTCTTTGTAACAATGTTTCTTCTTTTTGGCTCCGAAGAGACAGTAAAAACTTTTGTGGATCTCATCTCAGCTTACTTTAAAATAAATATCAAATAAACTTTTTAAAAATTTGAATCAACAAATAACTGTACCCGGAGTCATTTACTAGAAAAAAGATTTTAAACAAACGTACTTTCGATTTAATACAAATTGGCCAAACAGAACCCTACTGACTATTGAGTTATGCGTTAATGGAATTGCTAATTAACTCTCGACAGACTACAAATTGGGTATTGTAGCTTAAAACAATAAATAAAGTTTAAATTCCGTTGAGTTTGGAATAATCTGCATCCACACGCATTGGGAATTCTCCTTTTTGACCTAGGAGACGTCCGGACTGGGTGAATTACAGACCAGAGTGGAGGAAGGAATATTAGGAGGAATCTTGCAAATATTGTGGATGGGAAATGCTAATTCAACCCCCCGGCTCGGCCGACATAAATCAAGGTCAGAGGCGTCGCTTTCTTCCCCGTCTTTTTCTCCACCCCTGCCGGGGGATAACAGTCCCTCTCTTTTATTATTTGCGACCTACGCCCCCCTGCCCACTGCCAATGACTCTTCCGGATTTATCGAGGAGAAGAAGGAGGAAGTTGGAAGACCGAGTTTTAAATATTGCCTGGAATATTATTCAAAAAAGGACGAAAAATACTTTTGCCATTACCAACCGGCGGAGCCCTTCTTTTTTTTCAACCCCTTTTTATAAATTTATTATCCTCTTTGACATCCACTAAATCATTTAAAACGTTTTTCAAACTCTTTTAATAATAGTAATATAAACATAAACTTAACATATCTTAAAAAGCCGCAAATCTTCCGGGAACAACAAATTCTAAGGATTTGCTTTATCCAAGAATTTATGCTGGTTGACAACGTAGAATACGAAACGATGAAACATATCCATGAAATAAAGTAAAACATTTATGTTGTTATCATTTAAATACGTTTCCATTCTAAAAATATTTTTTTATATTATTAGAAAATAAATATGTATACCACTTTATAACATAATAAAATGTAAGAAAAATTGTGTGATTTGTTATAAATCAATTTATATTAACACACACCACTCTCTCAAAAAACTTATTACTATATTAACGAAAGAACCACACTAATAATTTTTGTTAAGTACATATAATAACTCTAACAAATATCCATCCTGAACCACCATTGAACATCTATTGTATTATCTGATTATCTACTGTATTTTACATTTGTTTAATAATAGGTTCTAAACAGTAGTAATATTGAAAACGGTATCAATGGAATAAATAGTAAACATGTAGGATATTAAGTACATCTATGGGGTCAGAATATTACCAAAGTTTATACAATACCGATTCATTTTCTTTATGCATACCAACATAGATTTATCTATTGTGGTCATAAAATATTTTGCTAGGAATAGTAAGTTGTTTCCGTTAAATAGTTGTATAATTTCTTTGGTTAACGGTTTTGAAAATTTACAAAACGAAATAGCTAATTTTCGTTTACGTTTCTTTCTAGTTTTTACGTTTCTTAGCAACTGGTTATCCTTTTCTTATTTTGGGTATTTACCCACTTTTGGCATCACGATCACATATAATTCTGCCCAACTAAACACGCCTAAATATAAAATTGCTCATGACAGAACAAACCAGCGAGGATAAACAGACCAGGGTGATTGCAAATGACCAAAATACACATACGATTTCTCACTGCTCCGCGAACTCTGCACACATGTTTCGTACAATACACATCAAGGATTTATAATGTAGATCTAAAATAAAATTCAAAGTGATTGCCAACAGTTAGTAAAACAAACTTTTAATTGAATAGTTTTCGATAGAAGAACTAAATCTCAAATATACAAGATCAATGCAAAAAATTAATATTTCTATCGTGTTTTTAAAATTTATTTCAGTTTTTATATAATATTTGAGTGTCTTATTTAATAAATATGACTCTTAGTTATTGTAATAAATGGCCACTTTCATTTGTTGGAGTGACAGTGCGAAAATCAAAATTTCTGGAAGTGGTGCTTGATTTCCCGCGAGACATATCAACGATCGCTGACGAGAAAAGGGGAAAAGGTTTTCATTATGGAACAGTCCCGCTGCGTTCTCTGTCAGCGACTACAATTTAATTTGTACCAATTTAAAATTTTCCAAACTTTTTTCACTAAATTGAAATATTCGTCCGGTAAAGGGGTGATCAATCGAATTCAAATGACATCAATCTGATATCGCCTGGTTTTAGGCGAGCCTTAAAAATAGCATGGAAAAACCATCCATGAGCGCATTTATAATTGCTATGCTGATGACTGGTGTGTGAATTGAGCCTCAGTTGGCCACGACAGACGGACAAAAGGGACAATACAGGTCCGCCCGACCGGGAGCCGAATAGAAAAAAAATAGCATTGGA